GGGGGGGAAAAAAGGAGAAAATGGAGAAGAAAGCGAGAAAGGGCAACTACGTACTAAAGTAGACGTTTTCACGAGTGTATTCACGTGTAATTTTTATTCTTTCACTTCGAGGCCGATTTCCGCGCCCCGTTGGCGCCGTTACCTTACCCCCGCCCACTGTATATAAATATATAAATACAAAGTATATATATAAATATACATAAAAAAAATATAAATGCGAATATATGTGGTTACGAGGCACCCTAAGTCGGACGAGCCTCTTTGCGATTTTTGTGTTCACCAGTCGGTCTCGCGATCGTCTCGATTTGCACCCCGTGTTTTCGAGCAATTACTTCTCTTGATCGCGACACTTTTGCACGTTTCGTTCTTTTTCAACGCGAGAGCAAACCCCCGATCTGGATAGGAACGAGGGATCTCAACGAGCAGAGGGTTTCGTTCGTCTTAGATCCACCGGACTATAACATGTAACGTAACGCACTATAATTTAAACGAAACAATTACGGGACGAGGTAACCACATGCTCCACCGAGGCAAGGGTGAAAACGAAGTAACGAAAGGAACACCGCTGTTGTTTGTGAGACACACTTTACAACGCGTTTCGGATCTCAAGCGAATTCCCTGTATCCGAATGCCCCAACGCATGCATAGTAGTCGGCTAGTGTATGTAATAAATAAAATTTCTGAACAAAACCATACCGGCTTGTTTACATCTCGCTCATCTTCGTCCCCCGGCCAAGCGTTTTACGAAATTATTTTCACCCGGCAGCTTGGATTTTAACCCCCCTGGTTGCTTGAAATTTCGAGGCACGAGTACCTCGAGCATCGGTTAAAGCAGGAGCAACAATCGCGCTTAAGTAACTATGGAAAACTTGGTGCAAGTTGCGTGAAAATATAAAGTCGGGACAGTAAACTGCTTTCTGCTTTCGCGATATTAACGATGCGGCAAGACTTTGTTTCATTAAGGCCAACAATTACGTCTAATGATGCCCTTGGATTTTTCAGGCGACGCGTTCAACTGCACTCGATAATTCTCATTTGAAAAACGAATTATGGGCTTCGATGTATTGTGAAATTTTTTCTCACGGTAATGGCATCGATATAGAAAGTCCTTTGACGCGAAAAAATAATTAAAAGTTTATTAATTATCGCGCAGTTTGAATTTAGACAGGCCGATATAAAAATATGCTGGCGTCCTAAATTTTTAACGAATCCCCGAACATCGTTAATGCAATTTTTCAGAATTCCACATCCAACTCTCTTTCGTTTTCGTTTCGTCCATTCCATTTCCTTCTTCTTTCTTTTCTTTTTCTTTTTATTTTCGCGTTTAATTTTGTCCTCGCGAATTCGGATTTTTTCACGAGTACTCGTCGAAATTAAAATGCACAGGTGATCGTGAAAGACAGTATTCGACAAGTTGGGAGTGAAATAATAATTCGCAAATGATTCGCGAAAAATTAGCTACCAAATGTCACATTCGAGAGCATGGCGACATCTGTGATGGCGGACGTAGCATAGAGAGAAAGTTCGCTCTTGTGCCTCGCCGGCTCCCTGTCAAAATCTATATACCCTTCTTCACTGATCGGTAACTTATCGAACACTGGTACACTCGAATCACCATGGCACGATTTCGAGGAATGAAGGAAAAAAATAATCCCTATCTCGGCGAATTTGGGAAAATTGCAGATCGCTTTAAATTAACGAGAAAATAACGAAGAACCGAAGATGATGAGCAGACTGTCAGAAGTTGAAAGAATTGCACTGATAATTTGAATTTCACGTTTATTCGGTATATTTCTTTATATATTAATACATGTGACATTAAGGACGCAGTAATATATTAACTGAACATTGATCCTTGCCGGGCTGTCGCCTTCTACAAGAACGAGACATCGATACTGAATATTTACAAAAATACAAAAGCTTACAAAACATCGACTACTATACAACGAACTCTTGTCTAATCGTTTCGCCTTCTCTGGTCTACACATCGAAAACTAACACGGATTCCATCAACGACTTGGCAATTATTAACGAGCTTCTAAATCATCTAATCGATGCATAGGTCCTTTTCCTAAAATACAAAATCAGACTTGTAGGTTTCGCGGGGCTGGAATACGATCGCACCCCAATAGCCCCTATTGGTATGTTTCACGATATATAAAAAGAACGTGTCGTTCTCGAAAAGGATTCGAAATGCCGGTAAGAAAATTCGTCGATATACGAAAATCGAAGTCTTCTCAAAATTGTAACAAGTCCATCGTTCTTAGGATCGCGTTGCGTTTTCTTATTCCTCAATCTTTTTCTCTCTCTCTCTCTCTTTCTCTCTCTCTCTACCACTCTCCCCTCGGTCCGATCGCTGCGATGTTCGTCGAAGTTTTGCGAATCATTGCCGTCAAACACGGACTACCTTAATGAACAAACGTATAATGACTATATACAGAAAATCATCGCTTGAAACCCTTGCCTGACTCGTGACACAAACGCTATTTTTTTTCTTTTTTTTGATAATGTACAAATTCGTTTTCGCTCGCTTTCGTTCGATCCTGCATATGTTTGATGCAACGTCGGCTCGAATTAACGCGTGCGTCAATAATAAAATGAAAAATAAAATTCTACTCGATCTCGATTACGTGAAAAGAAAGCATGAAAGTTACGCATGTCGGAACGTCGTTGATCGTTCGACAATTTGGTCCTACGAATTGAAAAATGATACCGTATCGAGCGTTTGTAGAACAAAATTTCGTTCGCTATGCAAAATATTTGCGAACGTCTGACGTGCGCAGAGACAACGAAACGCGATATTTCGCGTAGAAAATGAGGTGCACACGATCTGCTGAGAAACTCAATGTCGAATAATTTCCACGGAAGAAAATGCACCGGGTGAATTGCCAGCGAAGAACGAGGAAGACGACTTTAGAGACGATGAATTAAAGAGGCATCGCGTACGAAAATAATACTACATAATCGATTAAGAAATCTACGAAAAACCAAGCTCCGTAGTCTCCATTCTCTTTACTCTATTTACACATTCTCTCCTTTAATCCTACAAGGGAATTGCAACTTCCTCCAACGCGATATTCTTTGTTCCTTGTTCTTCCAACGCTCTATCTATCACATATCGTTTAAATCGTAAAATGATTCGGGTGACGTGCAAGTCACTAGTAAATTATTCCAGCAAAGCTCTCAGTGTCTCTCTCTGGAATCTTCCCTATGCGCGCTATGTCTACGAGACTCTTGACCGCTCGGTGTGACAGGTCTGCGCTTCGATCTTTTAAATTTCGCGATATCTTCCCCGAACACGTCCCCGGTTCTGAGGGCCGATATCAGGTCGTCGAATTCACCCTTATTGTCATTCTGTCCATTGCTATTGGCTTCGTTCTTTTTGCTCAGGGAGATACTGTTCAGTATCCCCTCGCGAGAGTTCTTTCTCTCCATCGTTCTCTTTCGGAGCTGAAATAAATCAGTCGTGTGAATAGGATCAAAGAGCGAATCGTCACCGAGAGAGAATAAAATGCCCGACTATTATTTCCCTTACTTCCTGTTCCTGCTTTGCCCTCCTCTCTTCCCCCTCGATCTTCTTCCTCATATTTTCCACGTCCTGCCTAGCCTCGGCCAACGCTTGAAGGAAATTCTCAAAGATGCCGAAGAACTCGTCCGGCTGCACGCCTGCAGAGTCTTCGCCGAATAGTCTCACTGCTCGGTCGAACTGCCGAGGGAAGAATAAATGAGCGAAGGAAGGGCGACATCGACCCTTTGCACTCGACGACTTTTTCGTTACGGAAAAATAATAAATTTTTAAAATGGTAAATGAGAAATCATATGCAAATTACGACGTAGAATTATTTTTTTTTTTTTTTTGGACATTCCACACATCGTTAGGTAATTTTATATTTGATATATTAATTAACGTCGATCTTTAGAATTTGATTAAATGGTGACTGAGAGTCACCTCTCGAGTGCAAAGGGTTAAATTCTCACCTGCGAAACTTACTCTAGTCTTCATGTCCTGGAACAGATCCTCCGCCTCTGCCAACCTGCACGTAGCCTGTGCCTGAAAGTCTCTCATTGCCGGCAAGAACATGTCCCCTTGAAGCACTTGAGACTGGCCACGATGGAATTCTGAGTGGAAGCGGGAGAGAGTGTAGACAAGCGCGAAATTTAGCTACACGTAGGGAGACGAACGAGCAAAAGGCTTACCTATTTCTCTCTGAACGTCCTGAAGGCCGTTCTTCAAGTTGGCCACCTCTTTCTGCAGGTCGGCCATGCTGACCCTAGCCGCGGTTCGAACGTGAGGCATGTCCTCTTCGATATCCAGCACCTCTCTGAACCTAGACTCGAGGATTTGCACCAAATAATGCAGCAAAGTTGTGCCTTTGGAGCACGAGGACTTGGTGTCGACTAGACGATTCAAAGAGGCCAAGCGGAAGCCGCAAGCGTTCCCGCGAGCGTTTCCGCGATTTACGTAATTCCCTAGAGCTAAGACCAATTCCAGGAGCTTTCTGAGCCGCCGGGACCTGGCTACCTGACGACTAGCTTCGAGAACCGCGCGCATTCTCGGCGTCAATTCCGCAATGCTGGCAGCGAATTTCTTTTTGTAGTGAAGAGAACGCAGTCTTTGCTCGTAGTGCGGCACTCTGAAACGTGGACATCGGGAAATGTTCTTTCGTGATTTTGCGATACAATCGACCGAGCTGGATATCGATAGAAAGTGGAACGCGTTACTCGTTCCTCGTTTTTTCTCTCTTATTACCGATCTACGATGAAATATTTGCTAAGCCGCGAGAAAAACGCGTCGGTTGTCTCTGAAGGAGAGACTGACGGAAATTTAAGGTAGCGAGAGACAAACGTACTTGGATATTTGGTACAAGAAGCAATCGGCCCTGTTCTGCAGGTCTTTCTGATGCATGTCTAGCAGAGCAGCTTCCTCCGACGATGGGATATACTTCAGCAATTGTTCCACCATATCTATGTGCAGAATATTCTGTTGGTCCATCGAGAGGATCGTTCTGGTGATCTCGTTGTCGGACATCTTCAGCTTCGACAGCAAGATCGTGCAGTTCTGAGCCCTTCTCGAGTCGATCACCGACATGGTCTTTTTGTTCTTTCCCAGGGTTCGTAGATCTTCGATCGAACCCTCCGCGGAGACGCCGTTCTTTTGGTAAGCGCAAAAGATCTTATCGATCGACTCCAGATCCATCACGTTGTACAGCTTCGTGTCGTCGAGCTCCGACCATATGGTGCCCTGTAACTTTTGCTCGGGAATCTTGGACCAGTTGAACGACTTCAGGGGGTTGCTAGGTTGAGGAACATTCTTGATTATCTCCATCTAGACACATTTATCCGTTTTTATTAATCAGGGCTGTAGGATGAACGGGAAAACTGGATGACGGTTTCGAGATCAAAGCTATTCCCTACCTTCATTGGAGGAGGAGCTGCGGGCATCAAGCAAGGGGGTGGCGGAGGTGCTAACGGCGGTGGTGGAGGCGGCGGTGGCATAGGCTTGGCCTCAACTTTTTCGAGAACCTCGTCTTCGACGATTTTAATCGTCGCTTTCGCATCGTCGGGTAAACTGCCAGAAGCTACCAATTGTTCCAGCCTCTTTCTCTCGGATTTTTCGTTGTTTATCTGTCGAGATAACGTTTCGAGGTTGTCTTGCAATTCCGAGATCCTTTGCTTCGTCTCTATGTGCATCGACGTCTCTTTCTCGAGGCGTTCTTTGACCCTTGCCAAACTAGCCTCTATGTCTTCCTAGAAGAATACGTCAGGTCACGGATGAGAACAAGAGCGGACAACGATCTCAATTTGGCAAGACAACGCGATAAATTACTTTCTCCTGCGTTCTCAGATCTAACTCTTGTTCCTTCTTGGCCAATCTGGTCGACATGTCGGAGTTTTCTCGTTCCAACTCCTCGGCCTTTTTCCTGGCCGCCACGAGTTCTTCTTCCTTTGCGAGTAAATGAACAATTTCCTTCACGTTGATCTCGATAGGCGCTACATCGGGATTCCTCGTGGCACCCGTGTCGTTTCCTTCCGACTGGAGAACGATTTGCTGCACGATTCGGTCGAACAACAGCCAATGTTGAGGATGGGAACCATAATCGACTAGAAACGACACACAGAAATGAGAGATAAAGCTTCCCCTTTCTATACCAGATGCAAATAAATAAAAAAAAAAAAATCTCACGGGGCAATAACAGGCAGTGTTCCAGCAGGCTTAACAAGTGCGGATAGGCAGCAGTGTGACTGAGTTTCCTCCTCAACAAATCGAACATGGCCGTAGCGCTCTTCGTGTCCACGTGTTCCTTCTCGAACTTTCTCGCCAATTCTTTCTCGTCTTCGTTTCTCACCATCTCGAAGAAATCCAGATGCCTGTCCAACGTTTCGTTCTCGTATTTCCTCAGCTTTTCTATGATCGGTTGGATCCCAAGCATCAGTAATTCGTATCTCAGGTGTAACCTAAACTCCAGAGTCACTTGACCCGGTCCGTAATTCAGCACCGCGTTGATGAACGACATGATCGCCGTTTTCAACGATAGATTGTCCTTGTAAATGCCGAAATTTTTGTCCAAGTCGTTTATGATACTCTGGAATCGCGTTCGTTCGGAATGATACTGCTGGAAATGTAGCATGGCTTCCAGAACTTTTCGATGACCGCCTGGAACCAGGCACACCGCGCCCAGGATTTCCAGCACGGATATCTTCGTCTTGATGTTCTCAGTCGCCAGCGACTGGGATATCGTGTTGATGGCGGTCGGATGTGCCAATACGTGAGCTCTTCCATTCTGCAAAAAGCGTCAGAGCCGCGATGAAACATCGAGTTTGAGAGCCGTCGGTGATGAAACGCGACGTAGCCTTACCGAATTGTTCATCAGCGCCTTCAAACAACCTATCACGCTCGTGTGAAGGTTGCTATTGGCTGCTTCGGCGTCCATCGTCCCCAGAACTTGCAACAGAGCGTTCAATCCATCGAGTTCTATGAACCTGAGGACGAAACTGTGCGGCTGCGTCCTCAAAGCAGTTTTCAGAGCTTCGGTCTGCCGCATCTGGTTCGACACTTCTGGTTCGCCCTCCTCGGGAAAAGGACACTGCAATTAATAATTTCGCCGTAACAAACACCGAGAGGAACCCTTTGGCTGAGAAACAAAGGTATACTCACGCTAGCTATCGTCCTCAACCTGTTGATGTAATCCTCCGGATCGCCGCTAAGATCCGTAGTTCTGAGGCTGCCGTTCTCCAGCGTGCCGTTGCCTTTCCTGGAGCAGTATATCTGCCACTTTTTGTTCGCCGGAAGTGCCAGGACCGCCTGCCGATTGGTTTGGGTCAGGTCCAGTTCGTCGACCAATTCGAGGAACATCTTGTTCAGTTCCTCCTCGGCCGGCATCGGCAGGGTGGGCGTCATCGCTTGAAGCGTGAGCGTACCCGTGTGCTCCACAACGCAATACGTGATTTCCGGTGGCTCGTCATCCTGTACGAGAAAGAAACATAACCGTGTTTTCAGTCAGTTGTGGCAACCGCTGCTTTCGCGTAGAATCCTTTGATTCTCCTCTTTTTACCAGGGGCTACTAGAGGCACGACGACCGCGGCTACGGCGACGACGACGACGACGACGATGATGATGATGATGATAACGACGATGAAAGGAGCAATAAAACGTCGCAGCGATTGTTGCTTCGTTGTCGTTAAACGCGGAGGAATTTCGCGGGGACGTTATTTTAACAAGCACACGGTGGAAACGTTAAAAAGCCCGAGGAAAAGGTCACGGAATCGAGTTCACTCGAACCGTTTAAGCGCAGCCACGTATTTTCGACTTTCCGTGAAAACCGATTGGGAACGAAGACGATCGAGGGTATGTAACCAGGTCTTGACCTTATTGAAGACGAGCCTCGGCATTAAATCGTGGAGTCGACTTGGTCGTCGAGATGCCGCCGTGAACCAACTTTACATGTGTACAGTGCGCGCGATCGATGCTCCCCGAGGACACCGTCGACTTTGCATTTCCCTCGGATACCACGCGCAGGAAATTCTGTCGCGATCCCCGATACGTCGACGGAGTATTCCATTTGTCGAATTCTAGCGACATCCAAGGCTGCGCCGCGTTCAAGTTCAATCCATTCTCGCGATCCCCCTAGAATCGTTAACGTCGCGCGCTGTACCATTCTCGTGCCTCTCTCGCTCGGCTCGAGCAGTCAGAACGAGCGGCAGCAAAGGTCAGGGGACCGGCTCAGGCACTGGATTCCTAAGGTACTTTCACACGTGACTAGGAAATTACCTATTCACGTACCTGGTCGCCGATTTATTCTTCGCAAACATCATCCTACGACCGAGAATGTGCGTGCCACTTGAAATATTTATCGGTCGTCGTGCAACTTCGAGCTTCATAATCACGTGACGTGTTTCTCGCGCGGCCGACCTTTTCCTCCGTTATCGCCAAGCGATACGAGTAACTGTGTCAAGATAATCTCCGAACAACCAAGAGCGTTAGCAGTGCCAATACCCCGTGGACTGTTTACATCGTGGTGCGCGTAGCCAGTTCCGCGTAGCCATGGGAATGCGTCGAGCTATCGCTCAGAGATAACGATTACCGGAAGATTACCGCCAAAGCCTAATTAAATCATCGAGGCTTAATTAATTGCCGACCAGTTTGAAAAGCCACCAACAGCGCGATCAGCTTCTTCCCTCGACTCGCTGGCGAGCCGGTCGCGGCGTGCAGCAGCATCCCTGAATTCTTGGCAGCTCGCGACGCCAGCGACGCGTTCACGCGCGAGGCCAGCACGTGAACGCGAAACGAGAGGAGACGCGATAAAGCGTGACACGCGACCGCCTACCGGCATGCACACGTGAGTTGCAGTGGAAAAAGGCGAAGGAGGTCAGCCAGTTCGGAGCTGGATTCGCGGTGTTTACGCGTCGGACTCTCTCGCGCGGCCACGTTCCTCGCAGGACGAAAGTCTATCCGGCGTGACGAATGTGTCGCGTAAATAACGCGGACAGATCCCTCGACGAGGAATCGAGGAGGTAAGGTACCGCTGGCTAGGGTTTCTTCGCTTTGGGCAACGCGATTCATGCGGTGTTCACACGTGATTGGATTTATAGCTGCTCGCCTGGGAACTGCAAGGAAAACACGCCGTTCCCTCGCGCAAACTTTATTAAGCTTCCTCGCGTCGTGCTGGACGTTTATCCTAACGAGTCTTCCCCTCGAGAATGCAACGAATTTCCGCGAGACACGCTCGATTAATCGTCGGCTTTAAGCTTGATTCGAGAGAATCAAAGGGTACGCGGCGCGAGTCCAACTTTCGTCGCCGAATTTCCCACGATCGTTTTGTCTCTAGTCGGATGAAGACGAGCCGCGATTATAACGGAATCTCGGGACGAGAGATCCGTTCGTCGAACAGATGGAAAGCGTCCGCATCGAGTATACGCCATTAGGCATACGCGATATTTCGTTTATTCGTCCGGCGAGGAGGTTCGAGTTCGGCCATTCGTCAGGGTGGCTTGATCGATCGCGGACAAGTCGGAAATCAACGCGCAGCCCGGTGTCGATCACGGTCCATTCGTGCATCCCAGCGAGACGACTATAAAATACAGCTCGGAGTCGCTGAACGCTAGTCCTACCTTCTCGTAAGCGTATTTTTCCCGCGGCGCCTCTGTTGCGGCTCGATAACAGGCGTAATCCGAGGCACGATCGAGGAAGCAACGTTATAACTGTATAAAGTGACCCGATTTAGTGCAACCACGTATTCATCGGCCTCACGCGATGTGATTTACGATCGGTCGGCTCGGAACGAAAGCGAAATATTATACGCGCGCGCGTCACGAACTTGCCTGGACGATAACTTGCCTGCAATTTCCGAGGATCTAACCCCGTGACAGGCCTCGGAATTCGACTTCTCGCCACCTGGACGAACGGTCCACGCCGCGAGCAGATCTAGCGATCTCGCGGATCTCTCGCGCAACGCGTGTCGCGGAAGGAACCTTCCCTTCCGGTAGATACGAAATATGTGGGCAAAAGTATAATTCTCGCGGATCGTTCCGGGTCTAGGGACACCCACGCGCGAGTAGGCGAAGCAACGAGTAGGTTGTCAACGTGGCACGGAAACGTATTAAGCGCAATGAGATTTGCAAATGCGTATGACACATTGCCTACACTCTCGCGTTGGGCTTCGCGGGAACGATCATGGGCCGATACCCGCTAAAAACTCGTTTGATCGCGAGCGTATATCACGATAGCCGGGGAATAAATTGCTCATTGTGCCGCGGAGAGGAAAACGAAATGCGAGCCTGTGGGGTTCGAGGTGGCTGCGAATGCCGTAGGTTTGAGGAAAAATGGGGGAGATCGTTGGAACGATCGCCAAGTAATTTGCAACGATCGCGAAAGAAAGTCATTACGCTCGCGTTCTATTCTGTATCCGTAAGAAATCGCGTAGGCTCCGGAGCAAGTGGAACAGATGGGCGATGGGAAACAACGCGGCGGCAATCGAGTTGCTCTCCTCGGATAGCACATACGCTTCTTCGGAAGCGTCGAGTTCGCAATAAACCGACTCGAGCTCGAGTGCCTGGCAAGAAATCCCGCGGAACGTGATCGCGTCAAACTCGCCGACATTAGCATAATTTTTTCCGTTTCTCGGCACGGGAATTGGTCTCGAAGCAGATTCCGCGAACTGAATTTCTTGTCAAACTCTTCTTCCCCTTTACGAGCTGCTTACACGTCGCGGGACAAGCGCTCCGCGCTCCGCCTCGGCTCCCCGTAGCTTCGAAGCTTGCGCGGGAAATGCCGACGATCTCAACCTCGCGGCTACGTTCGCGGGGTTGCTTAGAGGGGTAATTTAAGCGTCGTAAAACCGAAAAGCGCGGTCGAATTCCTCGAGACGTTGCACGCGGCGGCAGAAAATTTTCTAGTAACGAATCGAAAACTCGTAGCGTCGGAAACCGAGAAGATTACACGTCGGTAGCCACCGGACGTTTGTCGGGGAAGGCGTGGAAGAAAATTTCTCAGGAACGGAGAAGCTACGGTGGAACTCGGAGAGACATTTTCCGCCCGCTGTTCCCGCGTACGTATACGTCTTGGTCTCGTCTGGCACGATCAGCCAGCAGAGTTAAAAGGCAGCGAGAGGCGGACAAACGGCTGGAACGATAAGAAGGACGAGCGATAAAACGACGCGTACTCGAGGGGTGAAGAATCCGAAACGCTAGGCATGCAAATGGAGCAAGAGGCACTCGAGTGCGATGTACAGGACACCGGGGAAAAAGCGAACGGGGGCCAGGGTTTCCATCGTTTCTTACGCTTCCGATAGCGCCGCGGCAAGCGCATATAAATTCCAGCATCGTCGATAATTGAAAGCGTCGCCGCGAAACACGAAAAGAACGCTGTGTTCCATGAGTCACACGCGATACCGATCGTTCGCAGACTTTCGAACGCGCCGCTTGCTACCTTCTATGGTGCATTCCATCGGATCTCTCGTTCGACAGATCTGCCGCTCGAAAAAACGACTACAGAACCTTCGAGGATGCTGGAAATACGATTATGTTCGCCGTCGAGTATCAGCCTCCCTTTTCCTCCCTGGACACGCCCTGCGGTGCCGCGGAACCGCTGACCGGGGTTGATCGGCATAATGGAATCTACGGGTCATAGGATTCCCTCAAGGACGACTGGATGGGAATCGCCATGGGTTCCTCGTGGAAGTGGACAGACGTTCCTTTTTTTTTTTTTTTTTTTTTTTTTTATTTTTTTT